CGGTGTCTGGATTTTATACCATTTGTAACAGCCTAAGCCCACCGCTAGCAGATATTGTCCTCTTTGGGCTTTCCTCTTGGGCTTCCTTTTTGGGCTTCCCCTCAAGGTTTTAAAACGAGTCTACTAGGGAGAGGTTTCCACACCCTTATAAGAAATGTTTCGTTCCCCTCTCCAACCGATATGTGGGATCTCACAATCCACCCCCTTAGGGCCAGCGTCCTCGCTAGCACACCGTCTAGTGTCTCACTCTGATACTATTTGTAACGGTCCAAGCCCACTGCTAGCAGATATTGTCCTTTTTGAACTTTTCGTGTTGGCTTCCTCTCAAGGTTTTAAAACGCGTTTACTATAGAAGATAGAGGTTTCCACACCCTTACAAGGAATGCTTCGTTCCTCTCTCCAACTGATGTGGGATCATCTCACAATCTCACAATCCACCCCCCTTGAGGGCCCTGTGTCCTCGCTGGCACACCGCTCGGTGTCTAAATCTGATACCATTTGTAACAACCCAAGGCTATTGCTAGCAGATATTCTCTTTGGGCTTTCCTTTTGGGCTTCCCCTCAAGGTTTTAAAACGAGTCTATTGGGGAGAGGTTTCCACACCCTTATAAGGAATGTTTCGTTCCCCTCTCCAACCGACGTGGGATCTCACAAAAAATGTATATGTAAATATACTGAGAGAGCATATCACCTCGATTTTCTAGATAGTCTAGCATCACGTGCATGTCAGCAGCGGAAATCTGAGTTGTCATTTCCATTCTACCAGAAATAGAACTCCTACACATCTCTCTCTCCAACACATCAATACATAACCGATCTTTGTTAGATTCCTGACACTTTTGAGTCGTCTCATTATAATCCTTAGGTCTAGTCAGCCTTCGACATATGGTAACAGCAGTTTGTCCATCAGCTGTAGGTTCTAATGCAGAGGTTCCCTTGTCCAGAAGGGCCACAATGATTTTAGGATCCTTACGCCTTGCCGCAACATGAAGAATTGTATGTCCTCTAGGGTTCTTAAGATTGAGATCTGCCAAGCCTAGATTAAGAACCTCCTTAATGACCTTAGGATCACAATAGGCAGTGGCATAGTGAACGGCATAAGCATCATTCAAGGTAATGTCAGAAGATTCACTCAAAAGAAGTTTCAGTAGTTCAACATCATCAGAATCCAAGGCTTTGTGGAGCCTCCTGATTTTCTTCTCACGGTTCAGGTCCACTTCTTCCACCATATTTGGTTCAGTCTCTTGCTGAGATTTCATACGCAATGCTTTAATCTCACTTGCAACTTCACTAGGAAGCTCTCTCTCTAGAGATACAGCATCGAGGTCTGACCTTGCCACTCTTTGAATGCAGGGGATGTGCAGCTGGTCCAGTTGACAATGGAATGCAGCAATCAGTATCGTTATAACATCTTCCACAGAAGCTTTCTCAACGAAATTCAAGAGTCGACGCTGCACAAGTTGGTGGATATTGAGTTAGATTATAAAATAAATCACACAAGACAAGGAAATTATGTTGAGGAACTTGTTAGGATCGCATAACAATGCACCCTCTCGATCTAAATGAACACAAAGAACCGGAGAAAGAAAATGCAAGGAGAATATTAGATGGAGAGAGAAAATGCAATATTGGTTAAAGTTTATATTGATGACTTCATGTGAGATCCAACGTCGGTTGGGGAGGAGAACGAAACACCCTTGCAGACGCGTTTTAAAAAGCTTGAGGGGAAGCCTGAAAGGGAAAACCCAAAGAGAACAATATCTGCTAATGGTGGACTTGAGCCGTTACAAATGGTATCAGAGTCAGACACTAGGCGATGTGTCAACGAGAAGGTTGTTCTCCGAAGGAGGTAGACACGAGGCGGTGTGCCAGTAAGGAGCTAGGCTCCAAAGGGGGTGGATTTGGTGGGGTCCTACATCGATTGAAGAAATGAACGAGTGCCAGCGTCTCACTAGGTCTTGAAAGGGGCCATATCGGTTGGAGAGGAGAACGAAACACCCTTTATAAGGGTGTGGAAATCTCTCCATAAGGGAGTATATATACGGTTTCAGTTTACTATATATATTGGTTTAGCAGTCATATATATCTCTACCAGCTTTTTCCATATTCCAACAGAACTAAACTAACAAACGGTACATCCAAAATCTGAATTGAAGCAGCATACCGTGTAGATTCGCTCACGACCAGACGAAAGGAGGAGGAAGAACATAAGCTAAATGAAGCACCCAATGAATTGATTTTGTAGGCTAAAACAGTTTAGGCAGTTGACTTGGGGAACTTATCTTTTGCAAAGAGAGTATATTAAGCAGATTAAGCTATCAATTAAACCACCAAACCATTCAACCTATCAGTAATCCTTACGCACCCAATGCATACATAGTAGCCATTGGCTACACAGCTGAATTAATGATATCGTTCTTAAAATCAGCAATGAAAATGCCACCATTTTCTAACTCTATACTACATTCCACTTTCATTTTAGCCATAAAAATATTCATTTAGTAGACAAGAAAGCTCTGTGTTGAGGATGGTTGAGAGGGAGTCCCACGTTGAGCTAATTTAGGGAATGATTATGGGTTTATATGCAAGGAATACATTGTGAAGAGTCGTGATTCCTAACACTTTCTACTAAAGAGGCCGACCTACAAAGTCATATGAGTAAGAAATATACCGAGTATAAGAAATGTCCTCATACCTGAACAAGCAAAACCAACTCTTTCATCTTGAAAGTGGCAGAAGCATACATCAATTCCACTGCATAATTGATAGCAGGGCCACATGCATCATGAGCACAGGCATCATCCACACATGTTGACACTTCTGGTGGTGATGGCTTCAGCTTTCCCGTGTACAAGTAATTCAAGATAACTTTGAAAGCTTCAATTCCAACCTTGCTGAAAGGTACCAACTGAGACATACAATATTTTGGCTTGTCATCTTTGGTGGAGCTATCCATTTCCTGCTTAAAAAGCTCATGAAAAAACTGACTCCGAGCCGCCAATATACATCGATGAACACCCACTTCAATGCCCTCAACAACAATCACAGCATCAGTATAGTCATAGTCAGAATCAACCACAAGCTTCTCAAGGTTTGCACTTAGCTTGCTAAGACACATATGATCAGAATTTGCAGAAGGGTCATGGCTGAATACTGCAGGAACGTTGTTATAACTAGACCCATTTGACACATAAGACGATGAGGCGAAACTTGGGGACGAGGAAGGATCATTGGCACTGTCCATGACTTACAAGATGCGTTTCCACTAAGAAAGGAGCTCAAAAGTAACACAGATTGAGCAAAATTTCGACGCCCAGATACTCAAATCAAGACAAAGAATCTACAAACCCCAAAACACGGATTTGGAACAAAATACAAATAGGGAAAATTACTTAAATCAGACCAACACAGATAACCAATAGAACAACAAAAGAACTTCAAACGCAAAACTTAATCGAACAAAACCCATCATAAAAGCAAAACAAGTTCTAAGTAAAGGGGGGGTGAGGGTCAGGATTGCTTGCGAAGACACCCTTTGACCAAAGTCAATCACTAACACAAATGGACCAGATGCTAGAGATCATGATCTGAGGATTGAAGACAAAGAGCTAGCAGAGGACGAACAGAGTTGACCCAGCAAAAATTCAGAGAAATAATTGGAAGAACGAGGGAGAAATCACAGAAATCGAACATAATTGCAAAAGAAAAACGACTAATCTACAGAAAATTCACGAATCAGCATATCTAGCCACAAGGGTTTGAAGAACCGGGGGAGATTCGTATTGACACAGATTGCTCAGAGAAACAGAGATAAATGGGAGGAGGAAGAAGAAGAAGAAGAAGGTAAAGTCTGCACCGTTGACCCAATAAAAGACAGGGAAGACCCGACCCACTAACTGTAATTACACTGTGTGTTCATTAATTACTTCATAATCCCATAATTAAGTTAAGTAATTTTATAATTAATTAATATTGTAATATATTTTTTGTATTATTGAAATGTGATTGGTGAATGCGTGTTATTGATTCTTCAATCTCAACTTGACTGATGTTGATGTCAAAATGACAATATTGTCCCTATATTTATTTTCCTTTTTCTTTTAATTTTTTTTTCTCTCTCTTACATCTTCGTATTTATTATTTAAATGAAAATAAATAAATAAATGGAATATTAAAATTAAAGTTGTATATATATATATATTAATTCGATTTTATTTCTTTATTCAATTTTGATTCGGAACTTTTTTTTTTATAAACTATTAATGGAATTGTGAATATTTTATATTTGAGATTTTATTTATTGATGTGAAATGTAAATAAGTATAATTTTTTAAAATAACTACAAAATAAACAACTCGAGATTTGGTGTAATAGCTCAAATCCACCGCTTACACATATTGTCCTCTTTGAATTTTTCTTTTCGAGTTTTCCCTCAAGGTTTTAAAAATGTGTCGATTAGGAAGGGGTTTCCACACTCTTGTAAAGAATGTTTTGTTCTCTTCCACAACCGATGTGCGATTTCACAATCCATCCCTCCCTTTCAGGGTTTAATTAAAGGTTTTCACGCACCCTTGTAAACAATGTTTCGTTATCTTCTCCAACCGATATGGGGTCTCACACTGCATCCCCCTTTGGGATCCAACGTCCTGACTGACACTCATTTCTTTCTCTAATCCACCTCCCTTTGGGGACCTTCCAATCCACCTCTTTTTGGGCCCTAGCGTAGGGAGATGGATTGGAAGGTCCCCAAAGGAGGTGAATTAGAGAAGGAAACGAGTGTCATTCAGGGCGTTGGACCCCCTTCGGACCCTAGCGTCTTTGCTGGTACACCGCCTCGTGCCCATCCCCCTTAGTCATTGAAGCTCAATTTAGTCGTATATATTAGCCAAAAATAATATTTATGAAATAAAGGGGAAAGATAATATATATATATATATATATATATATATATATATATATATATATATATATATATATATATATATATATATGTCCTAATTTAGGAGACAAACAATATGCCCTAATTTTGAAAATCAGTTGAATTCATCAACTAACTTAAGGCCCCAACTCGCATCTTCACAATGCGTCACAAACGGCAGTTCATTCCCTCCATCTCTTCTCTTCATCTCATCGCAATCGCACACCGGCGGCACGTGCAGGCATGGCTCCATCGATACCGCCCGCCGGCATGGCCAGTCGCCTGTCTCATTCCTCGTTCTGTACTTCAGCCATTGATTCAACGGCGGAAACACCTTATCCTCTGCCTTGTAAAGCATCCATGGCTTCACTCCGGCAAGTCCCTGCGCCACATACCCAAACGTCGACCAATCGCTCGTCACCAACACGTCGCTCAAGCTCAGAAGGTACATCTCTGCCAGTGCCTTCCGGTTGTGCATTTTTTTGTTAGAGCTTTGAATCCCCTCGTGGCTCGGTTGGTACACCGCCACCACCTCGCCGTCGACGCCCCCATGCTCCCAGTACATTTCCTTTAGGGTTTCCGAGTATTCAGAGCTCAGAGACGTCACCAGCACAACTTTCACCGTCTGAGACGCTGTGGAATTCGACTTCTCCGGCGACGATTGCTCGACATCCGGCAGTAATTTCTTCTTCTGTGTGCAAGCTAGAAGTTGATTCATCTGGTCCTGAAACGAACCGGATTCCGACCCAAAATTCCGGATCTGAATCCCTAACATTTCTTTCGCTCTGGCGAGATACGGCTTGTAAGATCTCGAAATCAGCCCCCAGACGCCGTTCGTCGGATGGAAGAGGTACCGACCGAGATGGTGGAAAACAGTGTCCTTCGCCGGAAAGAGTTTATTGAGCTCTTCTCTGAAAAACGAACCAAGAAAAATTCCGGGAACCAGGTAGTTATTCGTCTCCATAATCATCCATGGGACCTTCTTCAGAAGATTCTGCTGCCGGTCGCAGTAAAACAGTTTGTCGTAATCGCTGGCGTCGTGAGATAGATGGAGATACAAATAACTCGCAGGCGAATCTTCGATTGTTTTCTTCAACATTCCATTTCTCAAAATGTTGCCAAAAGACCCTGGAAAGGACTGGCGGAACGACCCAAATTCCCGGCGGAGAGGGAAATCCGACGGCAGAATCCACGAGGATCCGAGAAAGGGTTCACAGAAGAGATCATCAAGAGCGTTGCCTCGGTCGATTAGAAAGACGCGATCGGACATTAGAGCGTAGAAGAAGGCGGAGATAATAGCGAGGATACGGTTGCCTAGGCCATCGCGGGTTAAAACCACAGCGTATTTGCAGTCTTCCGGCAGGGATGTGGAGTTTGTGGGTGAAGTTAGACCGGCAAGAGCTCGGCGGAAGGATGGCGAATTGGGACCACAGCGGCGGTGGAGGGCTTCATAGCGGCGGAGCTTAGAGAGGAGAGGGGAAGAGGGTATGTAGGGAGAAGGTTTTCTGTAGAGATTCAGTTGGTATCGGCTTAAACAGGATTTTTGGTCGAAGCCTGGAGGAAGAAGGCCATTGATGAATTCATCGTCGTTTCTGTGTGAATCATTTGTGGAGCCTACTGATAGAGAGAGAAATTAACAGAAATTTTCTCAGGAAACAAACAGAAAGAAAGAAATGGAGAATACCATGTTGAGAAACAGTTCTCCAGAGCCGATTGAAGTTCAAAGATGGCAACCAAAATTGCTGCAATATCACGACCACCATGACTGGAACTGCAATCAACAAAACCAACTTCGTCTTCTTCGTCGTCTTCATCATCTTCATCACCTCTACCTCCATGGCTCTGCAAAAATCCTCAACCAGAACCAATTCCTTCACAAGAACTTCAAAACTTACACTCAAAACCAGAAACTCAGTCAAATTAAAAGCAATTTGTCAAGAACCCATGTGAATGGAGCCTTGCGTGTTGTAGCCTTCGTGCTTCCCAACAGGTTTTGTAGATTTATTCGTCGTGGTCGTCGTCTTCTCCATGAAAGCCGACTGGGTTTTTTTTAATCAACCATACATGGGATCATGACGTTGAGTAAGTTCCAATCAAATTCTTGTTTTTTTCTTTGTTTGACCTTTCTTGGGATTGATTATCCACTTGAAACTATCATGAATGCACCTTGGTTGAAACTTTAGCATTGAGTAATTTATTTGACCAAGTGTAAAGTCAGCTTAAATTTTTAAAGTTCGATTTTGATTCCAATAAATTCCGATTCATCAAAATATTAATCATAAACTAATTGGATTGACGAAGGATGATTTAACGCGACATAGCAACAAGAGAAAGAAGTTTCAATATCATTTTCTAACGTAAAATTTCGTATTACATATCAAAATTGGAGCTCAATTATATCTTGAAGCCGAACGATATTCCTCTCATTGATAATGATATCATACTCTAATGAGCTGAAACCGAGAACGATATTCCTGAAAGAACCTGATTGTATCAAGTACTCGGGCAGGCGAGAATCGAGCCTGGTGTATTATACTTACATCTGTAGCGGAAAGCAAACTATAATGGATGGATTTGGAAGATGCTTGTTTCATCTCCAGAAGCAGCAGAGTTGGATTCTCTGAACAGTGTCTAGACATCTGTTTGAAGGGTAAAAAAAGGCAAAGATTACTAACAGATGATTAACACTAAATGCATACTAATACTAGCAATTAGAGTAATTTTTGGCTTAATGGCTTTACCTCGAGTAATAACTGAGCGTCATAGTTTCGACTATCATTGGACATTAGACTGCAGAGAAGCGACATCCACTGAGCTCATTCACCTGACGATTACTTAGTTACCACGTCGCCGCTTTAGAGAGGTACCCCGCGTGCTACCTTTAGGGCTTGATGGTCTGCCTGATGGATACCCATTTAAACTGAGGTCTCCTGATGGAAGGTTCTGCTGTTGTGCTACCTTTTGCTCCTTGGGGGACTTGCTTTGTTTACGTGTATTGCACTCTTGAGCGCGCTGCTGCAGGGTAGCATCTTGGTTTTGAGGGCGTTTGCATCGCTTGAATCGCTTCGGCTCTCTACGTGACTGCAGAGTTGAGCATGCATAGACAGAATGAGATGAAGCCTTAACTTTAGGGCTTGATGGGTCACTTAGTTTTGCTGTTCTAAGATCAGGCAGTGGTAAAAGATTCCGACTTACCGGATCATACAAAATAGATGTTCGATTCGCTTAGGAACAGTAGAATCCTTATAATTTGAAAGTGGTCTACGAAACAAACTTACCATCTTATGTGTTCCTGTAGATCTACCAGGTAAAAAACGGCTGATATCAGTCGGATTTACCATTGACGTCGACGTTTCTACAGGTTCTAATGAAATGCCAGATAAGCCATCATAAGATAGAATGGAAGCTAAGGCCTGCATAGAGGCACCAAGAACAGGAGGAAGAGCTTCATTTGGATGCTTTACCTGAGACACAATAAAAGGTCTGTCATTACAATCATGCAGAACACGAGTAAAATGAAGCAACTCCTGAAGCCAAGAACACGAGCCTATAACCACTTACTTTGAATAAGATTGCTGAAGATAATCGATCTCTCAAGCAGTATAACTGGGCAATATCGAGCGCCTTCGACAAAAAATGCAGCCAACCGTCGACAACCACAGTTACCTTGTTATTAGGGGAGGACATAACCATTTCTTCTGGTTGTTGATTTAATTTATTTTCGATGTCCATTTTCTCTTCAAATGTTTTATATATGTCGATTTCTTCGTTGCCATCATGGTCATTTTCAATACCACCTTTACCATTATCTTTCTCCTGAGCAGGGCCAACAGCAATCTCCTTAGCAACAATTAATAATGGGACAGGCCCAACAACAGTACATTTTCTTATGTCTGTACCACCATCCCCACGGGTTATCTTGTCAAAAACAATAAGAGGGTGACGATCGGTTAGCTTAAGTGATGGTTCAAAGTTGAGGGACTGTCCATGCAAAAGAACTTTGCCCCTTGAACGAGTTACTACAACAGCCTGTCTTCCCTTCATAAGGGGCGGACGTAATCTTCCCACCATTGGATATAAACCAGCCACAAGGACGGCGTGGAGCACGCCAGGGTCACGAGCATTTAAGCTACAAGTTGAACTATCCTTAGGCATAAAACCATTCTGAACTAGTTCCATTTTGAGTTGTTTCCGCATGCAAGATAGCTTCGACATAGTGCTCCGAGAAATGTAGTATTTAGAACAGAAGCGGGACTCTTGACCCCTTTCTTCTGCATTTTTCCAGCAATCAAATGCAGCTACAACAGCTAGTTGATCACTATGGCCACCATACAAAGAAGCAAGCTCTGCTTTAGCAGCATCAGCTTTCCTTCTAGTGCTTCGTAACGTCGGATGAGTGAAAGGGTCCTTGCAGTCCGAAACACAAGCCAGAGTTAGAGCAGGATCGAGGCAGTTCATCAATATGGCGAAGATAAGCATCTTGCTTGTTACTGGATGAACAGGCAATGAACCTAGTTTCTCCCCAAGCTCAGTCAGTCTCTCATCTTGTGACAAAGCCCCAATATCCTGAAGGACCAAGATTGCATTATCGATAGTATCTAAAACTGGAGGGTCCAAAGTCTTCCGCAAAAATCTCTCTATCCGACGATTGGGATCAAGCAATTTCGCCTGCAAAATAAATCGACTATTAAAACAATTAAACAAGGAAATCCTACAATTAGGAATACCTTTTCAATATTAAATGCATCAGAATAACACACCAATATATAGTTCAACATACACAAGTTAAAATGGCACCTGAAAACAGAGTTCCTCTAATGGCATTCTCTTGATTTCAGGAACTTGAAAATCTGGAAGAGACGACGCACGGGACTTTGAATAAAGGTGATAGCATATCCCAGGCTGACAGCGACCAGCACGACCCTCACGCTGCTTGGCACAAGCCTTTGATATCAAAGATAATTGAAAAGTAGAAACATTATTGTAAGGATCATAACTTTTTTCTTCATTCCATCCACTGTCTATAACATAAACTACATCATCAATGGTAATGGCCGTTTCTGCAATATTACTAGACAGAATAATTTTGCGGCAACCAGGAGGAGGTTGGCTGAAAACCTTCTTTTGCATTTTATAAGGAAGAGTTGAATGAAGAGGTATTATCAAAAATTTTGATGCATCTTTGAAAAGAGGATTGTCTGATAATCTATCTAGAGTTTTGCAGATTTCATTCCACCCAGGAAGACAAACAAGAATAGCTCCTTTCGAATCACGACATATTTTTTCTAACAGCTGCTCTAAAAGAGCAATATCAACAGAATTAGAATTTTTTTCAAGATATGTATCAATCAACCGTTGTTCTTCCTTGGAGTTGGATATGGAACTTTCCAAATGTTCTCTGATTGCTTTAGCAGTTTCTTTCTGATCTCCTCGTTCAGCCAATTCCAACGCCGTTGTGCCATCCTTGGCACATAATTCACATATGGCCCCAAAAGATAGCAGCATGCAAACATCAGAAACTCTACCTTTTCCAGCAAGAACCATTAGAGGTGTTAGTCCAGTCACAGAATGCTGATAATTGAAAATTTGAGAGGATCCAGGTTTAGCAACCAATTCTAGAAGGGGATCAAATTCGTCATTCAACCAAGCCGTGTGAATTGCTTCGTCCAAAGCAAGCTTGTCTTCTTCAGTTAGCTCACGTACCTCATCTAAAACACCCATTATCTTATCATCAAGGTGGTTCTCTTTCTGAGATTTTACAATAGAAAGTACATCCTCCAGATAGAAATTTTTTACCTGAATATTAAGAGTTAGAATATGGCCCTAAAATACATACCAATTCAAAACTACAAGATTAAAGTGGAAGGTTTACAGGAAAGGTGATTCCGGGAACATCGATGATTGGACAGCCACCAAAGTATCTCGAAAACCGTTTAGCACTGATTGTAGCGCTCATTAGTATCTGTCAAGATATAAAACAAAAGCATGCATTTCAGTCACAATCAAATGACGAGACACCATAAATCTTCAATTGCCTTGTTTTCTACAATTACAATAGAAGTATGAATAATTTGAATAACAGTGTAAACAGTTGAAGAACACAAAAATATCTCACGTAAAAGCCAATAAGAATAGAACTAACCAGCCGTAAGTGAGGATATGATGGAAGCAAGCCTCTGCAAACAAGTAACAAAAGTGAAGAAAAAGACCCAGAATTTATATTAAATAAGGAAGCTCAAAATCGAGTATGAAGGTGAAAGAAACATGAACTTTGAAATGATATGGTTGTACCATAACGATCAAGCTATAAGGCTTAATGAGTGGGGTCCCACAGGGAAGAAACCAATTTTAGTTTCTAAACATAAAACGAGCAACGTTTACAAATGGACCCCACGAGTTTTCTTGATCCTATTTACTATAGTAATAATAAAAAGCTTCCTTTCACCAATTCCCATATCTAATTAGTAGAGATCGAGATGGGTTCCATCCTCCAAGATGGCAATATGGGCAAGTTGCCCCATGTTGCTGCATTCTGTTAGGCTAGGAATCATTGGAACAAATGTAGTTGAAAGAGACAGTAGACAAGTAACATGTCCTATTGTTATAAGATGTGAGGTACAGATGGTTATGATGACCTAGAGTATGCGTGGGATCTCTTAAAAAGCACTTCAGGACCCGCACTTCATCTAACTACAGGTGTGGATAAGGTGTGGATAATGAGGCCACCTACACAACCTTCTTTTCTGTCCATTTGTTGTGGTAAGATAGGGCAGCTACTGAATCTAAAGAAATACTAAATCTCAGTGGAGATCATCCCAGTCTTGAGATACATAAGACTCCTAGGAGCAAATTTAGCTAAGACTTGCTCAAGAAAGATCATACGCATTGCTTCGAATGGTTATTTGTACAGGGTCTTTGTTACAATTGGTATCGGACATGGTTGAAGCTTTTAACCAACCCCGGTCTTCAATTTATTATATTGGTGGAATTCGACCTTTCAATAACCCTCAACAAATAAGTTGTTCTTCCTCGAAGCCCTACCCACCCTTCTCTAATTTGAGATATCCCTCATATTTCAGGTTCTCGACTTCCTAGACCAGTAACAGAAGGCTAGGAATAAGAAGAGAGTTAGTAGTCTTTGTTGGTGCAGGTCCTTCTCC